CGTGCGTGCGTGCGTGCGTGCGTGCGTGCGTGCGTGCGTGCGTGCGTGCGTGCGTGCGTGCGTGCGTGCGTGCGTGCGTGCGTGCGTGCGTGCGTGCGTGCGTGCGTGCGTGCGTGCGTGCGTGCGTGCGTGCGTGCGTGCGTGCGTGCGTGCGTGCGTGCGTGCGTGTGTGTGTGCAGATCACGGCCCGAGGCCTGTGCGCTGGCCAAGGGGGCCAAGGAACGCATGGAAACAAGAAGAGGCGCCGTGAACTCTCTGGGGAGGTATCGTGGCCCCCGCCACGATGTCCCCCACCCCCCTCGTCGTCACCCGTCCCCGAAGGAAGGCCTGGCTCATGTTGCCCCCCTCGTGCTTAAAGACCACATTCCCGAAAATAATCCCGAGCACCCATCAAAGTATCGAAGCAGTGTCGAACGAGCATCGCCTCGCGGGGCCCGACACGCGAAACATCCCGCCAGTTTCGACACTTTCCTGGTGCTCGAATTCGTTGTGGTGACCAAGGCTAAAGTAGGTTGGAGCATCACACGTTCAGGTCGGGCATATCCCCCTAAAGGCGGACTTTGGACGAAAAATCAAAAGCAGCCAAACAATACCCCTAAATAGTTAACACATACACGAACATCGTCCCCAGACTACGTTTTGACTACTTTCGAATACTCCTCTTGTAGAGGGACACGCCCGACTTCTGCCGGCGCCGCCCCTGGCGCGCTCCGCGCGTCAAGGAGGGGGCCCAGACCCAAGAAATCCGCGCGGAACGCCTCTAGTTTATGTTTATGGCGATGCTTTTCCCTCTGAGATCGAGAACGGCATCAGGACGCCTGCAGCTCACGGCACGAGCACATCTCCCGAATAGTCTTAGACTGGCGAGGCAAATGCCAATGCATGCAAACGCTATCATCACCGCGCTTCTCGTCTACACGGGCAAGAAAACATCGCTATGCACGCGATGACATGAACGCCGTGCGTGCAGGTCTAAATCAAGATCGTGAAAACGCAGACATTTACAGCATTCGGAATGTGCGGTTCGACCTGGCTCGTAATCTGGAGGTCGATCGCGATCGTGCTCGAATGGCTCATGGGCAAGGGAACTTCCATCACAATTGCGTGATTGAGGTGATACGGATAGTGGTAATGAGCACACGAGGCAGATTCTCTATCTTAGAGGAAGGAAGAACGCCATAAACATAAACTTCTGGCGCCCCGCGCGGATCTCTTGGATCTGCGCTGGGCCCCCCCTCCCTGGCGCGCGGAGCGCGCCAAGGGCGGCGCCAAAGGCGCCGCCGTGGGAGCCCAGCGCGCATCCGAGAAATCTGCGCGGAGCGCCAAAAGTTTATGTTTGTGGCGTTTCGTTTCCTCACTCTAAGATCGAGACTCTGCCTCGTGTGCTCATTACAGTCGGCCTTCATTGGACAGGACACGCGAGAGGGCACAAGACCCTTCCGAGGCCCACGCTGCCACAGGAATGCAGGAGGCGTGGGCCGCGAGACACAGGACACGAGGGTACCCTTGACTTGGCAGGGTCGACCTGCTAGTCCGGGCCGACTGTACCGCTGCCCGCACCACCGCGCTGGAGGCTCCCTGGCCAGGAGCGAGTCGGGAGCGGCCCGAGGTCCCGGACGCGCAGGGCCTCAGCGCGAGGGCGCAGCCACCCGCACGCTGCCCGCAGGGACTGCCGCATTGGCTCGCCGACGCCTGTCGCGGCTCGACCCCCTCCCTGCAGACCTCTGTCGGGCGTTGGCAGAACTGGGTTTAATGGAACCTCGTTTAGTGATTTGTACCGGGGGCGCCCCCCCGCCCCATTTCCACTCACCGGAACTGCCGTCACCCGAAAAACACCAGTTACGGCAAACCTGGTTTAGCGAATCTGGCCAATTGAGGGGCCCCAGGGCCCTACCACTGACCGGGTCCCCTTACCCGGGGTCCTGGCTATACCCGACTCTGTGGCGGCAGCGGGCGCGGGGGCCGATCCTCCTCCGAGTGCGCGAAATTGCACTTGGTACCTCAGCGCGCGCGTGCTGCATTCGGCAACCCACCTTCGGAGAGGCGTAAGGCACGGGTTCGTGGGACTCGGGCTGGCCTGGCGGGGCCGTCATAAAAACGACGAGACCCAGTCTAGAATTTGACGAGGGCTCCCGCTGCAGACATCCCACGGAAACTGGACCGTCTAAATCCAGGACGCGCTCGTCAAAAAGCGTCGGCAAATCCGAAATCCGGCGTACTCGAGTCTTACGGTCACCCGACAACATGCAATGCCGCACGAATCCAAACTACGGCTGCGTTCCAGTCATCACCAACTGCAGCCCGGGAAGGCGGAGGGCAAATCCGAACCGGCATCCACGGGGAAGCCTGGCTACTTTAGGAACAGCCTGTGCTTGACACACCAAGATTCATCCTCCTTCACCGTCCCGCTCACTTATCCTCCTCCCACTGGGCTCCTCCAAATCCACTCAACCAAACTCCTGACAGGTGTGGTCAGCCAGGAAAGCTGCCCACGAGCTGCTTGCATGCCCCCCATCCATTATCCATGCGGAATCCGTGCGAGCCGCGGGCATCGAGAACAAAGCAAAAGCCTCCCATTGCTTCAATAGGCGTCATCATAAAGTGCGCCCGCACAGCGGGTTAGCGTAGACCCGAACTTAGGAGTGGATGGCCTTAGGTCCAGACAAGTTATCACAGAACTGCGCGCGCGGGCCGACCCGCCAAACGGGACAGCCGACCCAAAATTCTGAACCGACTGGCTGTGCCTGCGTGTCGGGCGGCGGCCCATGGCGGGGGCACCGACAGTCCGATGTGGCACCATGGCCGTTCATGCCATGCCAAAGACGGGCCCATGGCAACCCAGTAACTGACTCAAGACGTGGACGATTTTTGCTGTTATGCGCGGCCCACCACTCTGCTAAGGTGGGATGTGGCCTCGGTGCTAAGCGCTCTCCGCGCTGCAAGATGATAGAGCCTTGAGCCAAGATGGCAACCCAGGGGGGCTGAAACATGGCCACAACTCTCCCCCCGAATTCCATGGCCAACCTTCCCCGATGCCACCACCGATCAGCCTCCGATCTCCGATCTGCGCTCGCGTCGAGAAGGGGGCCGAGGCTCCCGCCCAGCACGCAGTGCCCGGCCACCGAGAAGCGGCACAGCTTCGTCTTGTGGTAGTTGCTGGTGGAGCGCAGCTCTTCCTGGGGAGGGGGCGGTGGCGGTCGCTGCGAAAGGGAGGCAGGAGGCTTGAAGGGCGCAACAGCAAGGTGTTGCCGATGTTGGCGGCACGTGTTAGGAAGCGGTAGCACATGCAGCTGTTCAACCCGCCGTGAAGACGAAGGGTCCTGACCGAAACGGGCACCACACACACACCAGGGAGTCTCCCAACACCAACTCTTCACACCGAGGAGCTTCTGACGGTCCTAGCCCGTGGAGGGCCGCCAGGGGCTGAGAACGAGGAGCCACGCTAAGGACCCCTTCCCTCCAGGGCCCGCTCATTGCATGCCAATGAACCCGCAGTCGAAGTCGTAGAAATGGTGTAGCATTCATGGTTCAGGGCTGGCATGCGCGAGGGCAAGTCGTACATTGGCAGTTGCATACGGGGTCGAGGTCACTATCACTTCAAAACCATCACAGGCGAAAGGGGTACTGTTCGGGCGCGGCCAGAAGAAACCATGGCAATAAATCCAACCCTGAAAAACCCGTGCGTGAGGTGCACCTGAGAAGAAACCCCGAGCACCCTGAACGCAGCAGCTTCTTCAGCGCTCAAGTGGTTCATGGGCAAAGGAACTTGAACAACATTGCGTGATTGGGGTGATACGGATCGTGGTAATGAGCACACGAAGCAGATTCTCTATCTTAGAGGAAGAGAAGGCGCCATAAACATAAACTGTTGGCGCTCCGCGCGGATTTCTTGGATCTGCGCTGGGCCCCCCTCCCTGGCGCGCGGAGCGCGCCAGGGGCGGGAGGCGCCGCCGAAGGGGCCCAGCGCGGCTCCGAGAAATCCGCGCGGAGCGGCAACATCGAGCAGACCCCTGGAATTAAGTCGGGCCTGTCCCCCTAAATAGGGATGTTCGACGAAACATAAAAAATAACCCCAACATAACCCAAGCATAGTCCAAACATAGTCCGGGGACTATTTTTGAGCATTTTTGTTTACCTTCTGGACGTATTTGTTGGGGTATTCTTGATTTGTCGTCGAAAATCCCCCATGTACGGGGGACACGCCCGACATCACCCCGGGCAACGCTGCCGCCCACCTCTTCAGGCGCGGCAGGCGGGGGCCGAGCGCAAGTTCGGCACGCCGCAGCCGCCTGCGGAGGCACGCCCTTCACGCGCCGCCTCGGAGACGAGTCGCGCCGCGGACCTCGGCGGGGTCGTCGAGAAGCTGTCGAACTCCTTCCGATCGTTCGTTGCGCGCGTCCCGAGATACAGGGCAATCCCACCAGCCCTTTGGGCGTGAGTGGTTTAGCGAGCTCTCTCTGTTCTCAACCCCCCTTCTTCCCCTTCGGGGAGGGGTTTACCCCTCCCCCTACCCCCTACCCCTGGACCTGGAGAGGGGGTTTCGCGGGTCGTTGGAGGGGTCTTTTTCGACTCCTGGGAGGGCTAAAATTTGACACCCCTCACGAGGATTGTGGCCCCGACGGGGGGGAGGAGAAAAGTGCTCGCCCCATCTGTGATCCATCGCCCGAAAGATGGCCCCAAGATACCTCCCAGACCCCTCCCAAAGAGCCCCAAGAGGCCCCAAGAGGCCTCCAAGAGGCCCCCAAGATGCCCCCAAGAGGCCCCCAAGAGGCCCCAAGAGGCTCCCCCGAGGCACCCAAGACGCTCCTGGAAGCCCCTGGGGCCGCCAAGAGGCCCCCAAGACGCCCCAAACGGCCTCCAAGAGGCTCCCAAGAGGCCCGAAGAGGCTCCCCCAAGGCACCCAAGACGCTCCTAGAAGCCCCTGGGGCCGCCAAGAGGCCCCCAAGACGCCCCAAAAGGCCTCCAAGAGGCTCCCAAAAGACATCTACTACTACTACTACTACTACTACTACTACTACTACTACTACTGCTACTACTACTACTACTACTACTACTACTACTACTACTACTACTACTACTACTACTACTACTACTACTACTACTACTACTACTACTACTACTACTACTACTACTACTACTACTACTACTACTACTACTACTACATACTACTACTACTACTACTACTACTACTACTACTACTACTACTACTACTACTACTACTACTACTACTACTACTACTACTACTACTACTACTACTATACTACTACTACTACGGCTACTACTACGACTACTACTCTTACAATAGTTCTAGTTCTAGTCTAGTTATAGTCTCGTTCTAGTCTCGACTACTCAATATATACTAATATACTACTACATTAATAACTACTACATGCACTACTTACCCAGTTACTCCCACTACCACTCCTACTAGTACTACTGCTACTATTTACCACTGGGACTACTATACGTGCTATTAGTACTAAGACTACTACTATTATACTAATTGCTTAGTCCTACTACTGCTAATTACCACGACTACGACGACTATTACTACCACTTATACGACTACAAGACTAACATCACTACTACTGTACTTACTACTACTACTACGACTACTACTATATATACTACTACTTAACTACGACGACGTACTACTACTACGACTTCTAATCTAGTATTACTATTCTACTCATGGTTGCTACGGCCAAATACTACTACTACCACCAATACTACTACTACTACTACTACTACTACTACTACTACTACTACTACTACTACTACTACTACTACGACTACGACTAAGACTACGACTACGACTACGACTACTACTACTACTACTACTACTACTACTACTACTACTACTACTACTACTACTACTACTACCATATAGACCACTGCTCTAGTGACTGCCACTGCTACTGAGACAACTACTGCGACGACGACGTTGACGACTACGTTTGCTACTACCGCTGATACTGGTAATACCACTACTACTACTACTACTACTACTACTACTACTACTACTACTACTACTACTACGACTACTAAAACTACTACTGCTCCTACTACTACTACTACTACTACTACTACTACTACTACTACTACTACTACTACTACTTACTACTACGACTACGACTACTACTACTACGACTACTACTACTACGACTACTACGACTACTACTACTACTACTACTACTACTACTACTACTACTACTACTACTACTACTACTACTACTACTACTACTACTACTATCTACTACTACTACTACCTACTTACATACTACGGGCGCTTCGGGTCCCTACTATACTTACTACTAATACATAACTATATACTACTACTACTATTACTACTGTTGCTCCTACTGGTACTACTGGTACTACTACTACTACTACTACTACTACTACTACTACTACTACTGCTACTGCTACTGCTACTACTGCTACTACTGCTACTACTGCTACTACTACTACTACCACTGCTAATTCTACTGCGACGGCTACTGCTATTGCTACTGCTACTGCTACTAGCCTTTTGGGCGTGAGTGGCTTAGAGAGCCCGCTCTGTTCTCAACCCCCTTCTTCCCCTTCGGGGAGGGGTTTACCCCTCCCCCTACCCCCTCCCCCTGGGCCTGGAGAGGGCGCCCCGCGGGTGGTTGGAGGGGTCTGGTTCGACTCCTGGGAAGGCTAAAAAACGACACCCCTCACGAGGATTCTGGCCCCGACGGGGGGAGGCAGAAAAATGCCCCCCCCTTCTTGGAAGCCAAACTCATTGATTTCACTACGGTTTTGGGCCCATTTTGGCCTTCTGAGGGGGCAGCGCTAATTAAAGCTCCCCTCTTCTTTCAAGCCAAAATCATTGATTTTAAAAGTTTTGGCCCCATTTTGGCCTTCTGAGGGGGCAGCGCTAATTAAAGCTCCCCTCTTCGTTGATGGATTTCCTACAAGATGGCCCGAAGAAGCGCCCAGGAGGCACCAAGAGGCCCCAACATGGCCCCAAGAGGCCCCCAGGAGGCCCCCAAGAGGATCCCAAACGGCCCAAAGAGGCCCCCCCCGAGACACCCAAGACGCAGAAAAACCCATCAGGACGACCCTCTACTCGCCTGGGCGTCGTTTCTGGGCGGGCAGGAGGAGGGGCCCGAACGACTCACACCAGGACGAGGGGCCCGAACAACTCACACCACGAGAAGCCCGAACGACTCACACCAGGACGAAGAGCCCGAACGACTCACACCACGAAGAGCCCGAACGACTCACACCAGGAAGAAGGGCCCGAACGACTCACACCAGGACGAGAAGCCCGAACGACTCAAACCACGAGGAGCGCTTTCTCTCCCTCCTCCTCCGCCTCGTCCTTCTCCCGCTCCCACCACAAGGAGGATGTACAAGGAGGCGGGAGGAAGCAGGAACAGGGGAGATATGCGGGGGCAGGCGGAAACACGCCTGAAAAACACGACTGTCGACATGCTTCGCTAGAGTTGCTGTTTTGAGATGGGCTGGTGGGGATACGCGAAGCGTGAATAATTTTAATACATATGATGTTCTTTTAATATAGGATCTATCATACATGATTAATGTATGAAAAAATATGCATGAACCCATCGTTGTTTTCAATACTAGATCCCTGCATTTTTAATACACGATCCGCACGTGGAACATGCACAACAAACGGCACTGTACGGTGATGGCATTGGATAAGGCAACCTTCGATACGGAATCCAGGGTCTGGGAGCCAGTGGAACGCCAATCGTGGACTGGCCATGGGTATCACCGCCGCCCTCATCAGATAGGGAACCCTCCAGGGTCTGCAGCCTCCTGAGCACGTTCCTCAACGAACGCCCCCACAGTATCCGAGGCCAGAAGCAGGGTCCGACACAGCCGCAGGGGAACGGCTCGTCGTCGTCGCCGTCGCCGTCGCCGTCGACGTCGCCGCTGCCGCTGCCGCCGCCGCCGCCGCCGTCGCCGCCGCCGTCGCCGTCGCCGCCGCCGCCGCCGCCGCCGCCGCCGCCGTCGTCGTCGTCGTCGTCGTCGTCGTCGTCGTCGTCGTCGTCGTCGTCGCCGAGACATGGGGACCAACCTGCAGAAGACGTGCTGCCGCGCCTCTCCGACAGGCCTGCCTGAGGCCGCGCAGCTGGGCTGGGCCACGCTGGCTTTAGCTCGGGCGTGTCCTCCTGCAGGC